GGCCCGGGGGCCAGATCCGGCCCGCCACTTCATTTGATGTGGCCCGCGGAAGCAGATCAAGCATGTCAACTTGCATGATGCTTGCTAAAATCTCTTCCAAAATTTCAAATTCTCATATGTAATAAACAAGAGACATAATGTAAGCATATTCTCGGAACCAAACCCCTCATTACAGTAACTTAAACAATATTGACTTTTTAAATTTGATTTCAGTCATAACGGCCCTCCAAGGGAAACGGTAACTAAAATGTGGCCCACGACAAAAATGAGTTTGACACCCCTGGTTTCAAGCCATACATTTGCTCAGCCTTACTTTGGGTCTATGAGTCAAGACATTTTCTCAGCAACTATTTATAAGGAAGTACAGTATTTTAAAAACACAATTAAATGCCTGCTTTGTAAAAGTCTCACCTCTGCTCGACGACAATGACGACGGCTGCTTTCCTCAGTCGCTGTTTCCCCCCTTGTGAAGTTGCAAGCCACTCTAATCCGGCGGATGTTCTTGTCAAATTGCGTTTGAATGACTCAAGGCCTCGCCCGGAATCCGGTCGACACCCCCCCCCCCCTTCCCAGACGGCCGCGTCATATCAACCTCGTCAAGCCGCTCGTTTCCAAATCCATTCAATTGCGTTCCAAGCGTGTATGTGTATGCATTGAAAGCCACGCCAGAAATCAAGCCGAAACGAGCAGCCAAAGGTTGAACTTGGGCGCTCCGGATGCGAACGCCGGCGAGTCGCCGCGGCGGGCAAAACCGCACGACTCCCGGCGGCGAACGCCCCCGCCTAACGATGTTTTGATGCGGCGCGGTCCAGCGGAAGGAGACAGCTCAGCGGCGTTCGAAACAACATCCCCGCGGAGACGCGCCGAGGTGGCCGTCTCATACCCTTTTCTCAACACGCTCAACTCAGCCGAGTGTGAACTTTATTTATTTATTTTTCCCCCCTCAGCTTTCCAGCCAAGTCACTGACTCGGTGCAGATCGACCGCTAATGAAACGAAAGCGGCCGGGATTAAGCGTAAAATGCCGTTTTGGCTTCCGCTTCGTTCGGAGCTAATGTCCAATTAGGCTCTTGGCTGGCGTTGGTCTCCTTGGGGGAGGTCATAATGAGAGCGGGGCCACAGAGTAGCTGACCACGGTAAATAAAACACCGTGCACGGATGGAGCAAATAGTTCTCCGATTCCAGAGGTGTGAGCAGTTCCAACAATAGCCGGCGTGTCCTTGCGAAGTGGAATTTCGGACAGTGGCAAGCGATGGTTTTTGGTGGGTTCCGGGGGCCATCGTTCCGTTTTGGGAGTCACTCTGAAAGGAAGGTCGGCAGTCATCAAACGGAAGATTTGCCGCAGACTTTGAGACGCGAGCTTTGAGACGGTCGCGGTCACGTCCGTCGACGACATTGGGAAGTGCTCAGGCTGGGATTTTGAAAATTGGGAAGTGGCCAAACAGGGATTTTGGCAGCAGATCGTTTGGTTGTTGTTTTGTTTTTGTTTTTTTTTTTTGTTTTTTTTTTTTGTTTTTTTTTTTTGTTTTTTTTTTTTGTTTTTTTTTTTTGTTTATTTTCGACGCTGACGGTCCTGCCGTGTCCTTGGGAGGCGCCTCGACTGGGGACCGGGGGAAGTGGTCCAACGCGCGTTTGTTGGCTTAGGTTGCGCAACTCAGTTTCGTCTGAGGTACGTGCTGAGGATGTTTTCGTCGGGGCCTTTCAAACCTTACCCAACACCTCCTTCTCTGACGTGAGGACAGGACCTGCGCTGTTTTTGAGATTCGGAAAAGGAATCCTGCACACACTTGGCAGGTTTTGGGCCGCATTTCTGTTTTACAAGGGAGCGTCTTCCCGATGTTCTTCTGTGTACCTCACCTGAACCCAAACTTTGGTTTTCAAGATGAGCAAGTAGTCAAATTAGGCCGTTTTGTGGGGTAAAATTCACTTTGAAAAGGAAATTTGGTCAAGAACCGAATGCGCTTATGGGTCCCATTCTTTTTCTGCCCGTTCGGGAGAACCCGGACTGCGTTATTGGGCATCAGGAAGTAGCTGAACATGGATTGGACAGACTTTTGGGGGGTTTTGTTGGAGACGATGAAATGAAGGTTGCGGTAAAGCTCTCAAAAGTTTGCCGAGTGCATTTTGCAGTGTGAGCTTTTCAACAACACCAACTGTGTCCTTTTGTCCTTGGGGAGTGCCTGAGCTGGGATTTGGAGGCTGAGGAAATGGCCCAACAGAGATTTGACTGGTGGCTGGAGATGTTTTGCTTTTGAAAGAACTCTTGCGCAAAGTCGAAAAGCACATTTGAGCACCGCGTCACGTGGCGTGCGCTTGACATCGATACCAGCCACGATTTCTGATGATGCTCAGAAGTTTTGTGGGGACGTTTTGCAGCGTGAAGTAGCGTTCCATGAATGTTCCATGAATTTATTACACAACCAGGTATTTTGGAGGATCGGGTTTGTGCCAAATAGAAATTTATTGTGATTTTTTTTGGGGGTGGGGGGGTTGTTCCATTCGAAATAAATCAATAAATAAATAGAATATTTACCAGGATATTTTTATAAAGGTGTGTACCACCGTTGTGCTCTTGGGAAGTAGCGGAGTTGAGATTTGGAGGATCGGGAAGTTGCTGAACACTGATTTGGTGTGTTTGGGTATCATTTCTTTTTTTTTTTTTAACTATTCAACTGAAGTTTGTGCATATCTGAATCCAAATGTTTCCACTTTTTTTTTTTTTTTTTTTACTATGAGCTTTGTAGACAACAGCTTTCTATGTCCACAGGAAGTACCTCAACTGAGGTTTGGGGATTTTGGGGCCCCATGTTGGACGCCATTTGAAATAACTTTGGAAAAGAAACCATGTTCCACTCGTACAGCAACAACTTTGTCCTTCATCGACCTTTTTTTTTTTTTTTTAGGAAAGGCAGCCTATCCTAAATGACAACGCCACATTAAGTTTGCTGAGTTAGGTGATGCCGGAGTTGATCTTTCGGGACATTTTTGTGCACGTCTTGGACAGAGAGTGGTGGAGTGTCCTCTGTGTGTCTCTGATTTTTGGATTTCCATGAATGCTAAATGGCTGCCGATGCCGCCGTCGCAAATCGATGGACCCGAGTCACGAGAACGCACGCAGGCGAAGATGCTCATGGCGTTAGCTACGCACACGGGCTTGTGGGATTTTTGCACTTTTTCAAAGTTGATAAAACATCCATGGAATTGGCTCTTCAAATGCCAATGAAATGTTAGCGGAAATCCCTACGGAAATTTATTAGAAACTACAGAAATTGTCTTGAACATGAGCAAACCCAAGCTACACGTTGGCCGAATAAATATGGACAGCGTAGTTGTCGCTCATCGGTGCGGATATTTCTCGGAGACGGTCAAGCTATGTTGGAGGCCGTCGGCTCATCTGGGGGGGGGGAATGCCCCAGAAGTGACAGCAGCCTTCGGATGACTCAGTAAATCCCAGGGAGAACGGAGAAAAAAAAAAAAGAGAAAAGTTTTGAAAGGCCACCGCGTTGCTGCCCGCTGTTGTCTCACATTGTGCTCGACTGAGCAAAAAAATAAAAGCGCCTCATTTCAATCTTTCACACGGGTGTACGGGGGATCCGTAGACCACGGTTCATACGGGGATGCGAGTGACGAGACTTAATGTTATCATTCTTTGGAGCGTGAGCGGACACTTTGCGTGCGCTAGCAAACAGGCTAGCTTGAACACATGGCTGAACGATTTGAAAAAAATAGATTTGTCATTCCTCCCCTGCAGCTTCCAATATTATTTAATAAGCGATTATTTTTTTTCACGGTCTTCCTGGCATATATTTATTTTTAATTTTTTAACAAACACAAGCAGATTAATCTTGATGACAATGTGAGATAAATGGTTTGGTTTTAGAGGTTAGCCTCGCGCGAAAGCAAAGCTAAAAGGGTTAGCCGCTCGTATCCTTGCCAAGGTCAAGGCTGCTGGCGAACTGCAACGATCCAGTGTAGCGTTTCGATGCCGGGCCCGCCCCCGGGAGAAGACCAGTCGTGAAAGCAGATCGAGATCTCAGCTATTAGTGTGTCGCCACAGATTAGCTGCGGGCTTGCTGACAGACGCATGGACAGACAGCGTAAGTCGCTTCCAGCACTGATGCTGTCGCTGTCGAAGCGTCAGCATCCGAACTGGAAGATTCTTCTGCGCGTGACTAAAACTTGGTTTTGTGTGTGTGTGTGTGTGTGTGTGTGTGTGTGTGTGTGTGTGTGTGTGTGTGTGTGTGTGTGTGTGTGTGTTTGCGCGCGCGTGCGTGCGTGTGAATGCTTAGACTGATTGATGTGAACATGCATTTATGTGAATGGACAGACATGTTGACAATACGAATATATGTGAACGGACAGATCGAGACCTTTCACTTGCGTATGCGTGTCCAGACCGAGGTTATTATAATTAACAAAAAAAATAACGCATTCACCACAACAAAAATTGGGGGAAAAAATGTATTTCATGACCGAAATAAAATAAAAACGAAAAATCGAAAACTAACTGAAATGGCAATTTCGGGTCATAAATGGACTAAAAATAACAATCGTCCTTCATTTTCATCTTTGTCGGCTAATATCACACGTGAGCTTCCAGGATTCATTTTAAACGAATTTATTTCAGTACTGCTGAACGTCCATAGAGAAGAAAGAAGTTCCAAAGGTCATTTCGGAATTCTTGTGGATTTAATGACACAATATTGATTGACTTTTTTAATTTTAATCTTGCACTTGACAAACACTATGCAAAAATGAAAAACTAATACTAAAACTAATCCAAACTAAATTAAAAGAATAAATATGCCGCACAAATGAAATGGCCTGCTTGCATCGTGCTTTTTTTCCTGACACTCTGGAGATAACGCTGGCCTGGGTGATATTGTTTTTTTTTTTTTTCAACAAGTCTAATTGTCTGGACAGCGTGTCTGGGGGAAAAAGTAACATGTGTGAATTGCACAGCCCTCGCTCACTCGCGCTTTGTATCCGTGTGCGGCACAGGCAACATCTTCGTGGTGAGCCTGGCGGTGGCCGACCTGGTGGTGGCCATCTACCCGTATCCGCTGGTGCTGGCCTCCATCTTCCACAACGGCTGGAACCTGGGCTACGCCCACTGCCAGATCAGCGGCTTCCTGACGGGCGTCAGCGTCATCGGCTCCATCTTCAACATCACCGGCATTGCCCTCAACCGCTACTGCTACATCTGCCACAGCCTCAAGTACGACAAGCTGTACAGCGACAAGAACTCGCTGTGCTACGTGGTGCTCATCTGGGCTCTGACGGTGGTGGCCATCGTGCCCAACTTGTTCGTGGGCTCGCTGCGCTACGACCCGCGCGTCTACTCGTGCACCTTCGAGCAGTCGGCCAGCTCGGCGTACACCATCGCCGTGGTCTTCTTCCACTTCATCCTGCCCATCATGATCGTCACCTATTGCTACCTGCGCATTTGGATCCTGGTGATCCAGGTGCGGCGCCGAGTCAAACCCGACAACCGGCCCAAGCTGACGCCTCACGACGTCCGCAACTTTGTCACCATGTTCGTGGTCTTCGTGCTCTTCGCCGTGTGCTGGGCGCCCCTCAACCTCATCGGCTTGGCGGTGGCCATCCGGCCCGAGGTGGCGCTGCCCCTGGTGCCCGAGTGGCTGTTTGTGGCCAGCTACTTCATGGCCTACTTCAACAGTTGCCTTAACGCCATCGTTTACGGCGTGCTCAACCAGAACTTCCGCCGCGAGTACAAGCGCATCGTGGTGTCGCTTTGCACCGCCAGACTTTTCTTCCAGGACAGCTCCAACGACCAGGCCGGCGCTGGCGGCGACAGGCTCAAGAGCAAGCCCTCGCCGCTTACGACAAACAATAACCGCGTCAAGGTGGATTCGGTATGAAAAAAAAAATGGACATGGGAAAAAAACAAACAAACAACCAAATATGAAATAATGGAAAAGCCTCAAGTGACTGTGACACGGTGCTAATCTGACCTCCACAATCACTACAACAGGGGTGCATATTATTGTATTATCTTATTATCAGACACTTTGCTTTGAAGCTGGATGATTGCTGGACCCAATTTTCTGCTGGTCCGCCAGGAACTCCCAAGTGGTCAGCTTGTAGTCTGCAAACAACACTTGGAGTCTGGCAGCAACTCCGAGACGTCAGCTAGTAACTTCTGGTGGTCTGCTTTGGGACCTGGGTGGCGGCTAGTCGTCGACTAGCAACTTCGAGTGGTCCACTAGTATTTCCTGGTCATGTAGAAGCTCCCGGTGGTCCGCTATCAACTTTGAGTTGTTCACAAGCAACTCCTGGTATTGCGCTACGTCCTTCTATCTGCTATTAGCCTGTGAACAACAGCCAGTAGTCTGCGAGCAACTTCTATAAGTCAGCTAGTAAGCGCTGGTGCACCACTAACAGTTCCCTGTCGTCTGTAGGCAATTTCTGACATTCCAAGCAACTCTGAGTGGTTGGAGATCACATCCTTGAAGTCATCTAGTAACTACTCGTGGTCACCTAGCAAGCCTTAGTAATCTTCTAGAAACTCCCAGTGGTCTAAGAGGCCCGCTAGTAGTCCACTAGCAACTCTTAGTAGGAGTTCACACTCATTGTCATTGTATTGTAGTTTTTTGGACCTCCTGGTGGTCCGCTCGTAGTCTGCTAGCAACTCCTGATGTTGTTGCGACTCAAGCTAGTCCATTAGTGACCGCTGGTGATCACTGCTATCCTCTCGCTAGCTATTAGCAACGCTGAGAGTTGAAACGGCTCCTCCGCAAGTGGATTGCTCGCAACTCCTCGTGGTCTTGTAGCAACTCTTGGTGGTGTAGAAAGATCTGGTGGTGCACTAGCCACCGCTGGTGATCACGAATATCTTCTAGTTGTCTGTTAGCAACTCTAAGTGTTGAAGCAGCTCCTGGCGGTCCACAAGAAACTCCTGATGGTCCACTCGCAACTTCTAGTTGTTTGCTAGCAATTCCTAGTGATCTTCTAGCAACTCTCGACGTTGGGGAAGGTCCGGGTGGTCCTCTAGAAACTTCCAGTGGCCTACTTGCAACTACTACAAGTCCATTAGTAGTCTGCACGAACTCCTGGTGGTGTAGCAACTCCAGGTGGTCCACTATCATAGCAGTTTCTAGAAGTCCGCTTGCAATTGCTATTGATCAGAAGCAACTTCTGATGCCCCGCCTCCGGTGGTACAACAGGGTTCACCTTTTCTGATCTTATCAGGCACTTTTTGCTTTGTAGATGTAGTCCGGTCAACATATGTCCAACCTTTTGTTTACACTGATGGTATCATCATATTTATTTTCTATGTAGCTATATTAGTAATGCAGTATATATGAATATATCTATATATATATCAGGTTCCACCCAAGCCACGCCAAGACAAAACATTGAAGAATAAGCTCATTTGTGACAGTGTAACACTTAATGAAGTGCTGTCTTATTCTTATTACACCCTGCAATACAAGCCCCCCGCCCCCATTCATGATGTGGAACATATATTTTAGAAACCAGGCCATCCTGTGATCTCATTATACTGTATGCATGGATATCAGGAATTGTTCATAATATGCAAAATAAAGCGAGATATATTTCACGCCGCTCTGTCGCTTTTTGTTGTGTGGCTTCGCTCATGGGCAGTTTCAGGCTGACATCCCAAAATGTGGAACATTATAAAATGATTCAACAGTTTTAAATGCGGGACGTTACAATTTTATGCAGACATTACCAGATGCAGAAAACGCAGAGATTCCACAAATGTAGGAAAGGAGAGCCAAATTTTCCACAGGCGGTGTGCCCCCGCCCCACACACACACACACACACACACACACACACACA